AAACAAACCTCATCACAGATATTATAAGCTAAGTCAGATGGAAAAATTGAAGGAATGACCCCTTTTTTCAGCCTTGGCTGTCTAAGACAGATCTAATAAAAAAAGTATACACAAAAGTAGTTTGCATTTAAAAAGAGATTGACATTTTCAAAGTATAAGTAATAAAAAATGACAAATAAAATGTACTGAGAGACGAGACTACAAGAGTAGTTATTTCCAAATCACAAATACAATAAATTATTATTTGTTTACTTACCGAATACTTACTAGAACCTTCACCTGATGTCCAAGTAGATATAATATCATTTGTGTTAAAATGATGAGCACAAACTCGAGAGTTTCTATTCAAAACAATACCAATTTTTTTTTCCCATGCTTTATGGTCATTTTGTGGGACTCCAAATTTACTAGATGAGCTTTGTTGGCAACCAGGGACACAGCATTTATTGGATACCATATTAATTGGATACTTAATATTTAATAAATACAAGTTAAATCATACAATTTCAGATTTTCCATATTACTATCCAATATCCATACTATACATTATAATAGTATATTAATTATTAGTGTAAAATATAATAATAACATATGCTATAAACGCAGTTTGCCTCCAAAATATTTAATATATAGTTTAGATTATATACACTGAGAGCGCTAGCTGTCCTTCTTCCTATGGTGCACAGCTGATTTTCGGGGTTAAACGGTGGGAATCACTCTGGCGACTGGTTTCTATACAGCGTTGAGTAACCTGTATATCTTAAATCGTGCTCTCATATCATACAGTTATATTATCAATGTTTGAAAATCATAATACGTGATTATGAAAAAATACAATTCTTGTCATGTTTGTTGTTAAGTTTTATTTATTTATAACTGTTGTTTCACTATATTTTAATATTTTTTGGTTTAGAAATGTTATAAAGATTTATATTATCTATAGTTTTGTCGATTTTATATTAATATTACTTCGTAATACACACAAGTATCCATGGTATCATATGATACAACTGTGCAGTTCAGGTACGTGTATATCACATTTTATTAAAAATTTGTATATTTCATTTTGGCTTTACATATGTCTTAGAAAATTAATAATATGGATTTAAATGACAAGGACATTGAGTATTTATTGGACTTTGACTTGCCAAGTGGTTCAGAGGCTAGTTTTTGTGACAGTGACGACGGTAATGATGATAATGCATTGTATGAACAAAATTACAATGATACTGAGGAAATTGTACATCCGACCCCTCAACCTATTGAAGACTTCCTGGGTAATATAAACAGCGAAACAAGGTATGAATATGATGATTTATCAGCTAGCATTTTTATTATGGATGCAAATGATGTAGATACCTATGACAATTTTGTAAATAATATCAGACAACAATCACAGCAACAAAATAATGTAGTAGAAAATAATACTTCTGTTGATGATGCATTTGCCTTTAGCCCTTCCACGTCTAGTGATAAAACTTACCCAGATAGTTCTAATGATCCATTGCAAACTAAAAAATTAATTAAAAAAACTTTGCCCATCTTACCAAAAAAAAGAAAAACTAGAAGTTTTCCAGTAAGAAACATACACACAAGCCCAATCAAAAAAACCAAAAGGCCCAAAGAAAAAAAGAAAACAACTAAATGGTTTTCAGGAAGAGATAACCAATTCACAGACTCAGTTCCTTCTTTCATTGGTAGTGAAACAGTAAATATTGACACAAATGATGGGGCTACCCCTTATTCCATTTTTATTCAAATATTTACTGATGAATTATTTGAACTAATAAAAGTTGAAACCATAAGGTACGCTGTTCAATGTGGGAAAGACAATTTTACCTTGTCTATCAAAGAATTAAAAATTTTTTTTGCTATCAATATATCTATGACCTATATAAAATACCCAAACGTGCGGATGTATTGGTCTTCACAAGAAGGTTTGAGAATGGATTTGATAGCAGATGCCATGTCTTATAATAGATTTTCTGAAGTGAAGAGATATATTCATTTTGTGGACAACAGTGACCAACCTAATACTGTCGACAAATATTGGAAAGTTCGACCTGTCATAGATATTTTGCATGAGTCTTTTCATGCAGCTACTTCAACTAGTGAGCACATTGCGATAGATGAAATGATGGTGCCATTCAAAGGAAAGAGTTATCTAAAACAGTATTTAAAATCTAAACCCAAGAAATGGGGTTTTAAAATATGGGTTCAAGCTAGTACAAATGGGTATGTACACTGTTTTGAAATGTACACAGGCGCATCAATTTCAAAACGTTCAGAATTTGGTCCAATTGGTGATACTGTGATAAATCTTTGTCATGCAATTCATGGAAACAATCACAAACTGTTTATGGACAATCTGTTTACATCTGTTCCACTGTTAAGAAAATTAAGATCATTCAATATATATGTCTTAGGAACACTTAGAATTAATAGAGTACATGGTATTGAAAATAATTTAGTTTCTGATAAATTGATGGAAAGAGGTTCTTGTTCCATTGCTACTTCAGACGATAACATAACAGTAGTTCGTTGGAAAGATACCAAATTGGTACATACAATATCCACATATGCAGGAGCTATACCTGAGGATACAACAATGCGTTATGATAGGAAAGATAGAAAAAGAATTGAAGTTACCAGACCTTTTAGTATACAAGAATATAATAAATTCATGGGTGGGGTGGACCTAATGGACCGTATGATTGCCCATTACCCCCATGGCTTTAAAAATAAAAAATGGTATCTCAGAGTTTTTTTTCATTTTTTAAATGTAAGCATTGTCAATTCATGGATAATATACAGAGAACAATGCAGCGATATTCCTCTTCTTAATTTTAAAGCTTCATTAGTTTGGACAATGCTTCAAATTGGCAAACATAATGGGCCCAAAAGAGGAAGAAAGTCACTGTCACAGACACCACCAACAAAAAAAAGAAAGAATGTCAAAGTTCCTGTCCCTGAAGTGCAATATGATGGTATAAACCATTATCCTGCGAAGACAACCAAAAAACAAGCATCCAGATGTAAAGATAATAATTGCACTTCCCGAACTAGATATTTGTGCAAAAAATGTAATTTCCCTGTTTGCCCAGAGTGTATGGAAAGTTACCACCATACCAAAACACCAGTAAACATTTGAGACTTAAATATACTTAAATATACCAAAACTTTAATTTAAAGTAAAAAAGGAGGTTTCTATAAATATTGTTTTTGGTTTATTATTTTATTAACATTGTTATGCTTTGTATAAGCTTTTACTCTACTAAAATAAAAGTTTTAATTAATAGTGAAAAAGGAAGTTCCTATAAATATTATTTTTATTTTATTATTTTATAATTTAAATATATAGGAATAAAATATTTTATTTTATGTATTTTATTAATATTATGTTATTTTACTAACTTTGTTAAGTTTCAATGTTATGTTTGAATTTTGTTATACCTAGTTATCTAGTTGTATTGTTTAAATGAGGTAATTCAAATGGTTATTATTCAATAAATGTATTCATAAACTTTGACTATTTTTTACTTATTTTTTTTTGTGGTCCATTTTGGCACAGATGTATCATTTGATACCGATTGTTTAAACCCTTAAAAAATGTTGAAGGTTTGATTTAGGAATTTTTTTTTTATTTTTTTCGTTATTTTCAGGCAATTTAACATAGTTACAGATTTTTTTCCGAGAAAATCATAATACTGTGCATGAAGAGGTTAAAAGGTAAAAGTTATTATTTTTTTTTTTGTTTTTTGTTACTACATAAATTATGTATATAGGTATACGCACCATAAAAATTGTATTAATTATGTTATTACTTCTCAAAAGGTAAAAGTTATTATTTTTTTTTTGTTTTTTGTTACTACATAAATTATGTATATAGGTATACGCACCATAAAAATTGTATTAATTATGTTATTACTTCTCAAAAGGTAAAAGTTATTATTATTATTTGTTTTTGTTACTGTTATTTTCAAATCATTATAAATATAATAAAGAAGTTCCTAAATCTTAACTTTAATTTTTATTTACTTACCATATAAATGTTCAATCTCACTGTAAATTGGCAAAGTGGTCCCTGATCACCCGATCTCTTTCTTGCCTACCTCTTGTGTTTCCTGGCAAATCGAAAAAGTTTTCTTCTCTGACATTTCCATCATAGTTGTCTTCACACAAATCATTTGGAATATCATCATGCATATCAATACAGATATTATGCATAACAGCACATGCCACTATTATTGCTTGGATGTTACTCAAATTAACTGTAATTCCTTTGCTGAGCACTGGGAATCTTCGTTTTAGAACTCCAAAACATCTATAATATTGTAATAAATAACATCAATTTCTTACTCATGATAAAAACATTGGTTAGATACATCAGGTACAAATGATAATCACAAAATACATTTAAATCTATCCTACCATCTTCAACCAAGCAATATTTACCTTTCAATAACATTTCTAGTCCTGATGTGACTTTCGTTGTACAACTGCTCACTTTGTGTCCTAGGGGACAGCAGAGGAGTCATAAGGTAGGGATTTACTTCATACCCACCGTCACCTAAGAGATATCCTTTTATGAGTCCTGTTTCGAATTTATGTTTTATTAAAGAATTGTCGAAAATGGTTTGATCGTGGCATGACCCTGGCCATCGAGCAACTATGTTTGTGATTTTGAGCCATGGATTGCAAATGCATTGGACATTGATGGAAAAAAAACCTTTCCTATTTCTGAAGATTTCCCCATTATCTCCACCTATAAAATTTATTTATTTATTGTTGGTGGCAGTAGTATTATATTTTATTTATACCTGGTGACTGAATTTTTATATGGGTACAGTCTATAGCTCCTATTACTCTGGGAAATCTACTTCGGCTATAAAATCCAGTGACTACTCTTTTTGTATCAACATCGTTCATTGGAAACGACATGAATTTTTGTTTTTGCTTTGCTATGGCTCTACATGTTTGGTGAATGTAACGACATGCTGAGGATTCACTAACCCCAACAAAGTCAGAAATCGCTAACAAAAAAGAACCTGTAGCAAAATACCTCAGCATCATGTACAGCTTACAAGGTGCTAATATTGCTCTGTTTCTGAAACAAAAATAGTAATACCATAGGTAGAAGAAAAATCCACAGCAATTTGCTTGTACATACAGTTGAAGGATTTACATACTGTTGGTTATTCGACGACAACATCAATATCAAGTTAGGACCATCCTGTCATCATAGCAGTAAAAAAAAGTTACACATCTTGAGATTCCTGTGCACATCCACAATTAATTGTAACATTACAATAGATGTTGTCGTCTCCAACAGTATCACTGTTTTTCATGCAGCAACTATTTTCAAATTGTATTAAAAGCTACTTACCTTTGAGAAGGAGGTGATATTTCATTTTCTATCAATCTCAAGACAGTACTAAACGTAGCTTTTGAAATACGAAATCGATTTATGAAATCATGATCATCATACAATTCACAGTAGTTGACTCTTTCATAAAATACCCGAGGTCGACGTTGCATAGCAATAATATCTTCATCATCGTCACTGTCATCGTATAGTATTCGACGATACATTATATTTTAGTTATTTTAAACTCTTGTTTTAAAAATGCACTATTAGAAACCAAGGTAGGAACTATGAAAACGTTGAAGTAAAAAATCGCGTCAAAATATAAACTTCGATGTGTTATCTACATGATTACATTATTATTATCATATAAACAATCCCTCCCACGCCAACGCGGCTGATACCGTGGTCGTAACTAGGAGTTAAGACGTTATTACCCAGAATAACCGGGGGTTAAAATCTGAGAGTAAAGATTTTCATTAACTTGAAGTTACCGCTGAACTCCGGCTCGTGAAATTACTCTTTTGCGCTAACTCCGAGTCATTGCTAACTCGTACTCTAACTCTAGGTGGTGAAACCGGCCCTTAGGGTTTTTCCCGGCGCTTTTGAAAACTATTGAACATTTTTTGACCCCCCAAAGTACCAACTAGATTTACTTTTCTATCAGGAACGGTGCTGAGTCCAAAAATCGAAGCACTATTACTGGTAGAAATGTTGTCCCCAGACACAATAAAAATAACGATAAAATAATTTTAAACTTACCATTCTAACACAATGTTGTTAAATAAAAATATATAAAAACAATAAACAAATTAATATCTTAAAAGATAATGTAAAGAATTGATTAAAAAAAATGCATGAGCGTGTGACTGCAATAAGCTTCAAATGAGAAATGAATCACAATAGTTTTAATTTAATAATATCGTTTTTATTCGTTCAATTCTAATTTATAACTCATAATATTTTTGTTGACTACAAAATTAGGCATTGGCATAATATATAGACGTTACCAATCGATAGAACATTGGAAAACCCAACTAAATACATCACGCGAGTGACAACACGAGTACACGACGCCTTGAGAAATTACAATATACATAGTTTAAAGTTTAAACACTATCTTAAATAATAATTTTAATAATAGTTTTATTGCTCTTTATATTATAAAAGACACATGATTATATTTTTTTTTTAACAATTGGTTATTGAAACTTGATTGTAAAATATCAGTTAAAAACCTATGAAATCACTCTGCATAGATGTCGAGTGTATATTATGGTCATTGCAGAAGTCTAAGGCAATCTTTTTGTTAATTTTTAATTCGATAGGTACTTAAATATTATTGAATAGATACTTTATAATTATTATTATTATAACTATTGTTATTATTATTTAATACTAAAAAACATTAACAAAAAGGGTTTGTCTCTTTATTTGTAATCATAGGCGTGTCCAGACCTCATTCGCAGTTCATGCACAACTGTGGAATATCCAGGAGAAAGAAAAACTACACCCCCTCCCCGGCCAATAAAAAATTCTGTTAGGGTATTGGGATATGACCCCCGAATTTAAAAATTTTAAATTAATTATTTTGATTTAGATCAAATTTTGCAGGTCATGCCTGTCAGGCAAGACCCGTGGACACGCCTATGTTTGTAATAAATATTACACTATGCATTTACATTAAAAGATGAATAAAAGTAATATTCATCAATAATTATATCTATGACACTTTTTTTTTTTAAATTTTAATTTAACTCATTTAATTCTATTGGTGGCATGACTCCAAGATCCAACATAAAAATTAGATAATTCTAAAAAGGATTAGAACACTGTTTCTGTTTGAGGTGGTTATGTACCTGAATTTCTAAATAACGAAGACTATGAACAACGATATCTAACTGAAATAATTAAAAATTAATAAAGTAAATCTTAAAAGAATAAAATTCGGAGATTTGAAAAGCATAATATTTACTTATTTAAAATACTCAGTAAAATAAAATAAAAATAATTAATTAATTAATGTGATCTCTTATTTCCTTATAATTCTACACAAAAACATATAAGTTATAAAGTGTGTGGTTCTTTCATTTTGACGTAACCGACAAAATTATGTCATAAACAAAATGTTATACTACATAATAAATCATACTACACCTATTCAAGGGTGGATCCGGGGGGGGGGGGCACTGGTGGCAAGTGCCACCCCCGTTGGAAACAATTTTTTATGCATTTTACATTTTTTTTTTTTAGGTGGGGGAGCGGGCAGGGAAATGATTTGCAAATTCTTTGCAAAATTTTGGTGTCATTTTGAAATCTGTAGCTCACAAGGGGGG